TTCCCCTTCTAATTTTTAAAGCATCATAAGCAATTTAAGGGCAAAATAGGTTAAAGTGTTCTGACAATTTTATACTCGTGAACCTCAGAGCCGGCTTCTTCTTAGACCGGCCCCTGGAGCCCCTCTTCCTCCTCCTCTGCAGTGGTCTACGGTCCTGGAAAATCTTCACATTCTATACACCGGGGGGGATTTATCAAAACTGGAGCAGATGTGCACGGCAACCAATCAGCTCCTGTCTCATTTTCAAATCTTACCTGAGCAAACTGAAGATAGAAGCTGATTGGTTGCTATGCGCAACTGCTCCAGTTTAGACTTGAGGATGCAGAGGAACATTCCAGAAGGAGACAGGCTTCAGAGAACAGAGAAGCAGGATCAGCAGGTTCTGGCGGGGGAGTACAACTTTTTTAGCAACTCGACTAAAGAGCAGTTAACCCTTGTAGTGCAGGGGTTTCCCCACCGCAAGGGTTAATAAAATGTTTGCCCGGAGTTCTTGAATGTGCTGTTCAGCTAAAAAGAGTTGTCACTCACACACCTTCTTGCAGAGGCGGTCACCCACAAAAAAACTCACCTGTCTCAGGGACCAGAAATCTGGGTGGTATCCAGACAGCATCCTTATCTTGATCATTGTCATGCCGGCGGCTTTCCGCTTTCCACGATAGCTAAAGACAATAAATAAAATATAGTCAACATTGCCTCATGAGGCTTGTAGTTCCACAGCTGCAGTGCAGAGGCTGATGTACTGTAAGACTGATTACAGGGCATTAGTGATGTCTCTGCCCAATGGTGCCTCTCCCCCCCCAAGATGTGAATATATACAAGAATGGTTTTTAAAGGCACCAAAAATCACACAGCTGATGAGTTCCAATAGTTTTAGCTTGCTTCTGATTGGATCCTGTTTATTAGTAGGGAATGGAACGGTCAACGGCATCTAGGTTTGACAACTAGCAGCCATGTAAAGTGTTTGGCTGGTAGCGGTCAAAAGGAGACTCTTGATCAACATATCCTTAGCCTGGGGCATTGCGCCGAGGTACGTTAATATACTGTTGGCTAGTAGTGTTGCGGCACAGTTGGTACGCGGCATGATTTTGTTCATCAACAAAGCCATGTGATCAGCACACGAGTGCCAACGAGCCATTTGATCCCTCCGTCATTAAAGCCTTCACATATACGCGTCTCCACACTTGGGTTTTGTCTGGCTTGGCTTCTTAGGTCTTAGAGGAGAACTATGGGGTCAGGGCTTTTCCCCATTGTTCTCCTAAGGGTAACTGGAGGACACAAACTAGCGTCCTCCCGTCACCCTAAGCTCAGTATACCGTGAGCTGTAGCTGAGACGGATCCTGACATTACTGTCGAGATCCACCCAGCTGCGGGATTGACAGCTGGCTCTGCCCATCTAGGAGGCAGAGCCAGCTGTGCCCGCCCCCTACCGCCGTCCGTCAGCGCTGGAGGATCGGAGCAGGGGGGGGATCCCTGCAGGGAGCCGTGAGTGACAGGCTCTCTGCAGGGATAGATCGAGAAGTGAGCGAGCGACGCTATGTGTTCGCTCACTTCCCGATCTATTGAGCCGACGTGTGGCAGTTTCATTGTCACAGGTCGGCTAGAACTATAAGGCTGAGTGATTTTCACTCGCCTCATAATTCTCCTTAAAGGCCCATTTTATACTAGAGGCTGGTCTGAAAAGTGCTTCGGGTCCCTACAAGGTTTTGCAACTTTAACTGGTTTGTTATATTCAGGTCGGTTGTCAGCAAGCACCTTCACGCCAGCAAGAGGCACAGCTGCATCCCCCGTTTCCTACTAAAGGTCAAGTGGACAAGAAAAAAGGGAGTGTTCACTGCCAGGTCCAAGTTGCATATTCGCGATCAATATACAGGGATCCCAACCTGAAAAAAAAGTAATTTCAGTGAGGTGCCCTCTGTCCAATCTGCAGGGTGGAGGATGGAAAAGAGTAGCCCCTGAAATGATGGCAGATCGCACAGGAAGCAAATAGCTTCTTTGCTATCTGCAGGGTTTTTTGGGGGGGTTGGGGGTTTAGTATTCTGACAGCTGCTGCACACACACACACACTAGCTAGATCGTTATTGGCTATATCAATTTGCAATAGCCGACTAGCTATTGTACCCGCCCACTGCTACTGTCAATCAGCAGAGGAGGACCTGCTGGAGAACTTTATTCAAGTCCATCTCTGATGATTGACAGCAGCAGTGGGCGGGTGCAATAGCTAGTCTATCGGCTATTGCAAATTGAAATAGCAAATAGAAGACTAGCTATTCATCGCTATGCCTTTTTATTTTCTCTAACGGACGGCAGCCGCGATGTCAGAAAAACAAAAAACAAAACAAAAACCAGGCACCCAAAAAACAGAAAGCAGGGAAAGGTTTACTCTGCTAGACAGAAGACAATGTTTCCCTCCCGAGCAGCCACCATCTAATAGCAGGAGACAGCCGAGATACAAACTTCATCTTGAATAATTCTCCATCGTCCCCACATCAAAACGTTGTCAATAGACTGCTAGTGTTCCGACTTCTCTCTACTGCAAGACCCGCGAGTGCCTGTATACCTACTTTGGAGATGGGCAGAGATCGATTAATCTTTTTCTCTTTCCCCCTTTACCATTAGAGCCTCCCATCTGGAGATACTGAACCATCTTTGCCTCGCTTCCCTAGAGTGCCCCCAAGTGGAAGTGGGATTACATACCTGAGATTGGCAGTCATGTTGAAAGCCTTAGTCACTCCATTCAGGCAGGTATTGGAGGCGGTGGACAAGGATAGGGAGAAAGCAGAGTTGTCTTTCGGTATCGGGATATTGTATTTGATTACGGTCTGAAAGGAACAAACAAAAAAACCCAATTTGTTAAATAACACCTGCCACAGCAGTTAAGCAGATATTGGGAATTCCATAGCCCATGTCTGATTTACTTTAAAACAAATGAAATTGTGTCGGTAACATTTTATAAAGTTATCTTGCATTAACAAAAATGTATATATAGATTATAACACACACACACACACTTTGAGATATTCAAAACATAGTTTACGAATTCTTTCCTGCACATGTGTTAAAATTCAGCATCTTAGAAACTTATGCACAGCAGTTTCATTCCAGCAGCTGCAAGACGCATTACAAAGTGACGAGTCACGAAGCTGCAACGAGAGCAGTTGTCTATTTTTCTGGATAGGGGCCACATTTTCTGAAATGACTGCCGTAGCGGCCCTTCCGTATGTTCGTCATCCTGTAGCAAACTACGGCCCCTTCTAAATTCTCTAAACCATCGGAAGATAGTTGCTCGCGATGGTGCTTCATCACCAAATGCAGTGTAACTAGGCCCGGATTCCCCACAAGGCCACTGAGGCCCGGCCTCGGGGCGGCAGGGCGCAGAGGGGCGGCAGCGGTGTCCTTGTGGGGAAGTTGCCCTCTCTACATTCAGTCCTATGTACATTTTATTATAATCTCTACTTACCTATTACACCTTCAAAACCATTTTAAACCACCTTAAGCCCTCATTCACACAGGAATCGACCCGCACGTACAGCTCCATGCACAGCCGTACCGAGTAGCTCCCGGGAAGGCCAGGTGCTGCGTGCAATTACTACCCACCCTTCTCTATGGGACTACAACACTCTACGCCCACCTCAAGTGAAGGTCCGTAAGGGTGCGTGTCTCCTCGCTCGGACGCAGACAGGTACCATGAGCATAAGGGGGTGTACGGCCGCGTAGTCCCATAGAGAAGGACGGGGGCTGCGTAGTAATCACACGCAGCACCTATCCTTCCCGGGAGCTGCTCGGTACGCCCCTGCATGCAGCACAGAGCTGTACGTGCCATGTACAGCAGCTTTGCAAAAGCAGCGAGAGCCTGGAGACCGACAACCGTGTCCTAGCAGACGGAGACATAAATTGTTAGGATAACTCAACTTCTTAAACCTCTTTCACAGCCAGATTGAAAATGAACTGTGATCCATAATTACCGATGTAGAGGGGAACCCTCCATGAGCGTTCTGCTGCCGAGTGAGCCACAGGGACATCTGAGCCATTGTTGCCAGGACTTTTTCAGATACAGGGGGCGCTACGGTTGATTTCGGTTTATTGGACCCCAATGCCGGCATTGCCGGGGTAGTCGGTTTAACATTCGCTTGAATCATGCTTAGTAACATGTAAGCCGTGAGCTGCACCTCAGCTGAGTTATATATAGGAAAGAAGAATGGAACTGGCCGCAATGTAGGCATGTCTTCTCTTTCCCAGTGTATTGTGCCATCTGCAAAGAAAAAAGGTCAGTGTAAGTGTAAAGACAATTGGGAAGTTTGGGCATATTTATAAAACAAGTTCAATTTGACATTTCACTAATTATATATATAATTCACTGAAGGAGAGTCTTCCTGCATGCATTTTAAAATGGCAACTTGATTCCCCACCAGTGAATGTTTAGCGACAGTCACCTGAACTGCTTCATAAAAATATTCTCTACACAGTGAAAGCTCTTATTTTATTCTGTATTTGGCTGTGAGTGAAATATCCTACAGATCTATTTCTGCTAAGTTGGGTCTGAATTTTTTTTTTTTTTTTTAAAAAGGAGAACTATGAGGGGAGGGCTTTTCACTCATAGTTCTCCTGTTCTCTCTCCTCAGATCAGCTCAGTAGATCGGGAGGTGAGCGAACACATACCGGCGTTCGCTCACCTCTCGATCCTGAACATTTTTCTTTAACATTATTGCTTTTATTTTTTTATTTTTTTTACCTTCACAAAAAGGAAAAAACTGAGCACACATTGTAAATAACTGGGGACACATAGTACTAACACTGGAGCGATCAGATGAGGTGTGTGCTGCACAGAGGCTCGGTAAATGATCCCAGATATCACACATTTACAGATCCATTGCTCAACCACGCACACAGCCGCTGTCATCCTAAAACTGATAGGACGACAACGGCAGCTCTCCTCCCCGCTTGGCTGCTCTCTCATGCTGCTTGATCATCGCGATAGAGCAGCTCCCTCCTCTGCCGGCCATTTCTACTTGGATCCCCGCTGCCTCAGCCCATACAAGTGGGGGAAGAGCAGCAGGGATCCATAGAGACACACGGAGAAGATGCCTGTGGCCGGTGCGGGGGTGCACCGAATTTTTGTTAATATCGGTCATCACCGACTTATTAGCCGCTGATGATAGCCATTATATTTAAAGGGGACCTTCAGGGGAACCGTTCCAATATAAGCTCATGGTCGCTTTCGCTTATAGCAGAAGGTAAATGCCACCAATGTATGGCATACTGACCTGGCAGTCTGGGAACAGTTTTGTTCCGCCGTATGCCATATGTCGGTGACAGAGAAAGGGTTAAGATAAATACATTTTTTTGCCCCCTCCCCTAAACCAACACATCCCACTTGTCTCTAGGGATAGTTTTCATCCCGTGCTACAAAGCCTCTCTCTTGGCCATGCCTGCACATTAGAGTGCTGATGACTTCAATGGAGCTCTAATACGCAGGCATGGCCAGGAGAAAGGGGATTGTCAGTGCGGGATGTCAAACACAGTAGGCCACGGGCATTGGATCTTGCCAAGTATGCATCTGTTGAAGGGGAGGGTGGGTTTGTTAGGTCAGGGGAGGAAAAAGAAAAAAAACCACAACCACACACTCTGCTCATCCCAAGCTTTTACATGCTGAAGAACCATTAAGCTCTCAATGCCAAAAACTTCACCTTTAACTATGGCTTTCTTCATGAGTTTTGCCATCAGAGGATCTCTGTATTCTGGGAGACCAGCCAGTGTGAAGGCGTACAGCATGAGGACTTCATCACCAGTTTTTTGCTTTGTTTTTGATGCATTTTTCAGACACCCCATAGCTCCGTCCAGCAGCGTTTTCTGGAAGACAAATGGAAAACCTTAGTGTGCAATAGGCTTTTAGCCATTAATAGACCGATGCAGAATGTGGCTGGCCAGTCACGATAGAAAGAAGATGGCTAGAACAACCAAATTAAAGCGTATCTAATGAGGAGACGTCTTTTAGCTTTGGATAGAGTAGGAAGAGTTTCAAACATGTCAGCTTTTTATTGCGGCTCGTGTCCCTTCTGCGGCCAAAAGGTAGATTTGTATTGTAGGAGATTTAGGACTCCAGAGTGGATTAGAACGAGAGGCCCAAAATCTAAAACTTTTTATAGAGGCAGCTCTCCATCCACATGGGGATCCCCTCGGGTCTTTGTTTTGAATTGGATGGTTTCTTACCCCCAAGCTGTATTTGGATTCGAGAAGTGAAATTGCAACATATGCCGTGTAGTGGATGGAACTGTTTGTGTCCTGGAAAAAAAAAAAATGCAAGTTACATACATTAGGTAGAGTTAGTTTACAGTTTTTTTTCCTCAACTATCGTTGGAAGCTACAGCTTCTTGTATGCAAAATATTAATATAGTTATATAATCCATGGACTGCATTTACCATTTTTTTGTTAGCCACTTAAAGCTGAACTCTAGTCAAGGAGCCAATTACAGATGAAATGCATACATGAGAGCTGTTGTATGAGATGTTGTATCTTTGTCCATCCAGTCTTGAGATTTATATAGAATGAAGTCTATAACTGCATGCCATTTGGTGTATAATAAATAAAATATATATATTACACATACACACATCATATACATATACACACACATATCACTATGTAATATATTCTAGCAATCTGTTTTATACACTTAGTACTAGTTTTTTTTTTGCTTTTTAAGCCCTAAAACATCTAAATCACAGTGATCAGTTCTACACACATCTGTCATCAGTTTGCAATTAGCATGCCTGTCACCAATTTTTCACACATTTATACAAACTATTCTTTCAAGCACGTATGTACAGACTTGTTTCCATTTAACCTACATTGAAGCAACCCATTTTTTGCATATTTATCAATATTTATCCATAAATTTGCACTCATTCATAACTATGAATCCATAGATATGGTCCATATACACTCATCACTAGTTTCTGCTTAGTATACACTATAGATATTTTATTTCCTACTCCCATCTTCATCCCCCACACACACACTTGTAGTTATTCATGTCATGTACACACACCACACACACACACACTACACACACACACTTCCATTCAGTATACATCACAATGCATTGTTTTATACATATTTGTCATAATTCTTTTATATACACTTCTAGCTATTTGTTTTAAATCCAGGAGAAGTGTCACTAGTTTCTGTGGAGCATGCATTACATTTGTAAAAGTTATTTGTTCCCTAAAATATTTGTCACTAGTTTCCATCTAGCATGCATCACACGCACAAATATCTTAAGAGTTTTTAGCTGGCCAAAGCACTATGGGGTTAATTTATAAAAGTTCAGCCAGGCATATGCCGTTCGAATGGCACTAGTGCTCCTAGATGGTGTTGATTATAGGAACTTCTATACACCAGGTGGAACGTTTATAAAAATGAATCCCTATATATATGCGCAAGGACAACTTGTTCTATATACAGAATTATTTTTTATACATGCCATATAGTGTACACACACAATTGCCAAAAGTATTGGGACACCTTTACACGCACATGAACTTTAATGGCATCCCAGTCTTAGTCTGTAGGGTTCAGTATTGGGTTGGCCGCCCTTTGCCGCTATAACACCTTTAACTCTTCTAGGAAGGTGTCCACAAGGTTTAGGAGTGTGTCTATGGGAATATTGAACCATTTGTGAGGTCAGGTACTGATGTTGGACAAGAAGGCCGGGCTCACAGTCTCCACTCCAATTCATCCCAAAGGTGTTCTATTGGGTTGAGGTCAGGACTGTGTGCAGGCCAGTCAAGTTCCTCCACGTCTTTATGGACCTTGCTTTGTGCACTGGTGCTCAGTCATGTTGGAACAGGAAGGGGCCATCCCCAAACTGTTCCCACAAAGTTGGGAGCATAAAATTGTCCAAAATGTCTTGACGGTATACTTAGAAGCCGCAGCCGGTACGGATCCCGACAATTCTGTCTGGATCCACCCACCTGTGTGAGTGACAGCTGGCTCTGCCTATCTAGAGGCAGAGCCAGCTGTACCCGCCCCCTCCCTTGTCCGTTCCGCCAGTCAGCGATGGGGGATCAGAGCAGGGAGGGGGGAAATCCCTGCAGGGAGCCGTGAATGACAGTTACGGCTCACTGCACGGATAGATCGAGAAGTGAGCGAGCGCCGGTATGTGTTCGCTCACTTCCCGATCTACTGAGCCGACCTGCGACAGCTTCATTGTCACAGGTCGGCTCAGATTATGAGGCTGAGTGAAAAATCACTCACCTCATAATTCTCCTTTAATGATTTGTACAATCTTGTTGCTGTGTTTATGCTTTGAATGGAATCTGTGCATTTGATTACACCCTTCCTGGTGAAGTAGTGGTTACTACACCTAAATATCTACAGTATTGTATATGATAGAATCATATGCACATGATGATTAACCCCAAGTAGTGGTGGGAAGAGTCCTATTTGATTCACGTAGAACGGTTTGCTGGTCTAATTTTATTACTTCTGAAGGAAGTTTGCAATGTTTTTTATGAAAACACATTTTAAGGTTTTACCTTTTATTACCTATTGGATCTTCAGTGGAATCTACTCGAGTCTAGCTTATCCATGCAATGCAAAAATAAAGGGTTATCTGTTGTGGATTCAATAACTAGCATCAGATTAGCCTTTTCATGTAGGTGTGTCACCCCATCAATGGAAGAAAGCAGGAATAACCAGCACTCAGTAAATACCATGGTATTTTGTTTTGTGACTGGTCCAAATAAAATGGACATTCATTACTTGGACTATATTTACTGAGTGCTGGCGATTCCCGCTTTCTACTATTGATGTGCACAGCGCCATCCGTCATTATCACTGCGAGCTCCACCATTGCAATTTGGGCCGGGAACGCTGTAAGGAGTGCACAGGGACGTATCACTTTCTACCCGATCAATGGATTCATCATGGCTCAGAATGCCAAGATAAAATCAACTCCTGTGTCCATGTGTGGGAATTAGGTTGAGGCCCGGCCGATTAAGCAGCCAAGATACTTTACTTCTGCTTAAAAGGCGCAGTAAAACGCACGTTACCATAACTCAATGCTGAACTAATAGTTCACAGTTATATGTAAACTACAGTGACCCACCCATACACTGTAAATGCACCTCCTATACCTTAAGACATCTCACTTTTACATAAAGCACAGATTACAGATTCAGCCAGTGGAGAGCAAATCCTAAAAACGTGTTGTCATTGGTCATGGCTCTTTTGTACATTGCTCTCTTTTTAAACAAGCATCTTATTGGTTGAAGAGCAGGAGGCTTTTCTGACCTGGAATGTGAACAAGGTTCCTTGGGGTTCAAAGCAGCCATTGTCAAGCCTCTGCTGGTTCTCCAGCCAGATGAGGGTTTGCTGCTGTCTGGTTTCATCAATTTCAATGTATCTCTTGGCTTGTTCAAAGGTCTTCATGCTGTATACGGTCAGCCTGCAAGAAGCACAAGGTTACCGCATTAGGAACAAATATAAAACCAACAGATAACATTTTTATTTATTTTTTACAAGGGGCTCTGCAGGTTTTTGGGCAATATCTCACTAAACTGGTGACAGGCAAGTATAAGACTGGCAGGGAGTGGACAGGACAAGCTTCACTACAGCTGTGTAATTGTATCAAAAAGGTCCACCTCTATGATTAAGCACAGGTAGTGAAACGCGTGAGCGGCGTTGGAAGTGGGAGAGATACTATGGTGGTGTATATCTTGTATTTTGAACTTTAGTGTTGTAAATTCCATGCAAAGTTGGATTTTTATGGACCTCTGTTTCGTGTGGCTGATTGGAGAGACATTGCTTGATGAGTGGGAGCATACTGCAGCCGGCACCCGATGTCTATTGATCTGCAGTCTGGTGAAATTGGAGCGGTGAGGGTTTTTTTTTTTTGCTTTTCTGGATATTGCAAAAGGTGCAGTCAGACTTGTAGGATTAAATCGTATTTTAGGTCAACCTAAGTTTCAGGTTTAGAGCCCAAGTGAACTTTCTATTTTAAATCCGCTAAAGACATTCCAGGTGCATCAGAACACAAAAAGGTGTGCAGGTTCTTAGGAAGCAGCCACAGCCCAAGTAGAAAAGCCTGTCCCCTGCTGGTATGTTGCAGAGAAGGAGGCTTGCTCTGTTTGGAGCAGTGGTCTGTCTACAGCGCTCCGATACACCACCCTGATGAGTCAGAGCTGGATCTTTCCAATCAGCAAAGTTCGTGTTCCCTACTAAAATGGACAGCTCTAGCCCTGATTTAGCAGGGGGCATGTTAACAGTTCTGCAGAGAGGCCACTGCTTCCTCACAGAGCATGCTGGCAGGGGACAGGCTGTGGTTGCTTTTAAATTTCTGGTATGAAAACAAAAAGTTTGCAAAGTCTTAGAGTTCAGTTTGGTTTTACATTTCTGAATCCGTTGAAGGTTTCAGGTGTAACACAAAATTGTCATTACCATGAATTGGGTTCTACGGAGCTGTGAAACACTCTATAAGCGTCTCCGCTGGCATATCCAAGGTGACGATAATATCCTAGAGAGATGAGAGAAGTCAAGTCAGAGCACACCACACAAGGACATCAATGGGCACCTTACAAACTTGCGTAATAGATTTAGCTGCCATTTCTTTAATCGGTGTCTATCGCATGGATTTAATTTAGCACCAGAAAGAAAGGTCTCAGACTAACGATCAAGAACTAAAACTGCATGCTTCCAGATCATGTGATCAACATGCAAGCTACTCATGGAGCTCACATACAAGCTGTGCACAGAGAGGAGTACAATCTTAGGTGGATAGTGTTTTTTTTCCTAACCCTTCATCCAAGCAGACTTTAGCTTTCCTTTAAAGTAAAACTCTGCCTTCTCTACCTTCGATAGAATGTGCACATTTAGGTATAAAAAAAAAATTACAAGTTTGTAATTTTTTTTTTTAATTGTGCAAATTTGCATTGCCATTTGTTTCAATAACGCTGGCACTGCTTAAAACCAAATGCATGGCTTCCCTCCTAAAGCTGCAGCCAGCTGCAATGTGGACAACCAGTAGTTACACCACCAGGTTAGGAGGACTTCACTAGAGATTCGGTTTAAAGTTTAACCAGTAAAAAAAAAAAAAAAAACCTCGACAGGGAAGACAATCGTAAAGTGAAGAATTATGAACAGTGGAAGAGGAAGGTCATAACGTGGAACATTTAAGAATTTGGTGCACATAAATAAAAAAGTGTCAAATTGATTTATCTTTACCCTCCAATATGTACTGCTTCCCCTTCTCCAAAATGTCAGGCGTAAGCTGGCCTGTGTTGTTGAGATAGTCAAGCACATGTACAATAGGAGCTACTCGTGCCAGGTTTTGTTCTGCGCATCCATACGGCTTCTGGACCAAATCCTTAAGGTTTTGCAATGGGAGTCCAAACACATCACCTGGAAAGATATTCGGTTATAAGGATCAGAGGCAAGTGCAAGAGGCTGTCGCATTCAGAACTCTGTGGCCAAGTGCATTGCAGTAAAGCCTCAGATGCAAGAAGGGTAGAAGTTTTGGGAACCGGTAAGGAAGGTTTAATAAAGGCTGGACCAAGGTCTGGGGTTCCAACTGATCTCCCATCACTATAAATGCAGTAGTAGAATCCACGTTATTAGTCAGAGCTGCAATTTATTAAGGATGCCATCATTCAAATGTTTCAGAATTGCAGCACCGTCCTACCAAGTACAGCTGTAAATGGTTCTACACGATCACATACTGTTATATCATTTTAGACAACATTTTTGTTTCAAGCTGCCATAGCCACTACAAAGCAAAAAAAAGACGGAGTCACACCCCAATGGGAGAAATAATGTATGTATGTATGTATGTATGTATGTATGTATGTATGTATGTATGTATGTATGTATGTATGTATATATATATATATACATATGTATGTATGTATGTATGTATGTGTGTGTGTATGTATGTGTATGTATGTATATATATATATATACACACATACACTGAGTGGCCAGATTATGATGACCACCCCATCAGTACTTAGTTGAGCCACGAGATTACTCCATGAGATGACTTAGTTGGGCCACCTCATGACTCCACGAGATGGTGAAAGGTGATGCGAGGAATCTGACACTGCACTGTTACCCTTCTGTGGTCTTGTACCATTCTTGCCACTCTCCGTTCTGCCCTAACAAAAAGAGGGGACCTCATCATGGCTCAGTAAAAGGCAAATGAACTTATGCAGGGAAATATTGCTAACAGTACAAATTTAAGAAAACGGAGTTCAGCAAAGTGAAAAATCAGCATGGCGCATTAGGAGCATGAGGAGCATGAGTCATGCTCCTACTCAGACCACTGCCCAGCTGCCCTCTCCTGTCCAACCTGAAGGAATACAGCGGTTGAGCAACAGGCCCATCTCCGGCAGCAACCCCCCTCAACTTCCAATGGCTGGCTGCAGGATTGCTCTTAGCAGGCTGTGTTCTTGCTAGACAATCATCCCCGTCTGCCTAGAGTTCTGCCTTCAGATTGGCTTCAGTTTTGTGGCACGGTATTTAAGCATCTCAAGTTCTTGGCATGTGAAGTGTTTTGCTACATGACTACTGTACCCTTGCCTTGCATTTGGATTCTCCTGTTATAGACGCGTTACCTGGTCAATGGACCACTCTTATTTTCGCTGTCTGCCCTTATCCCGTACAGTCTCTAGATTATGCTCATCTGCAGTGTCTCTGGTTTTTGGACTACGGGATACTCACCAGCTGTGTGTTGGTCCATGCTTGTGTAGCCCCTATACAATATACATATATGTGCTATCACAGCGATTCCTATTCCTGACTGAATAGTTAATGGCCTCTGTGTGCCCTGGAGGCGGAGATTTATGGGAGTTGGAGTGCTGAGCAGAGACTGAAACATTTACCAGGATGATCTTGGAAGCTGGAGCTCCCAGGAGGCTGTGCAGGAAAGAGGAGGAGACTAGGAGTGGTGGCTGCTGTGTCCGCTCAGTCTGAGACAGCCATCTGAAGAGGACAGACCTGTGCAACCCTGTGTGGGCTAAGACTGTGAGAGACAGAGCTGTGTGGTTACCGCTGATATACATGGACACACAGGCTCTGTGCAGCGGAGTCCACGCTTTGGGCGGTACATTGGTGCAGGGGGATAGAAACACCCGATCATTCAGCGGCTCCTTTGGGGGTGTGAGCTACACTTGATACTCCTGAGGACCACTGGTACTCTTGTTCTTCATCTTCGCTTAGTCCATTGTGCCACCTGGCCAGAAACTGTAGCATTGCATATTAAGCCCTGGGGGCAACTAAGTACTGGTAGGTTTGCTTACCCTAAGGCAACAGGGGGTGAAATTATCCTGTTCAGCTATGGTTTCTGACTTCTGATACTGGCGTTGACCACTTTGAGGCACAGCCAAGGAGATCAAAAACCTCCACACACAGTAAACACATGGAGTCACCAAAAACCAAAAGAAGAAAGAATTGTTTTCACTTACGTTTCACAAAGACGAGATTGCTTAAAGTCAGTTCTTGGCTGATTCCTTCAGGCTGTTAAGATTAAATTAAAAAGGTTAAAACATACTTGGGAAAAATACATGCAATTTCCCCATTTGTACCAGCCTTACCTCTACTAAAATGGATTGCACAACGGTGTCCTTGCGAGGAGGCTGGGAAGCATCATTAGATCCATCACATGACTGCCCAATAAAAGTGGTTTGTGCCGTCACTGAGAAGCTAATCTCTCCTGTAGATAAAGCAGATCCAGTGGTCAGTTAGGGGTCCAGATACCAAGGTTGGATTGGCAACACAAGCACAGAGAGCAGAAGTGCAACAGCACATTTCCAGAAGGTAGCAGAGGAGTACTAGACTGGAAAGTAAGGGGGCATTTGCCCCCTGGAATAAGTACAAATTATATATACAGTATGATAGGTTGTTGGCCCTAAAATGGATGTCCATTCAACTCAATTTTTATCTTTAGAACATAACTGCCCCTGCCTATAACATGTACACTGTACTATGCTGTGCAATCATGTTGCCAGCCAAAAGCGGAATCATCCAGCAGGCAAATTGGGCAGGGGCCTAGAGTAGATGTTCATAGAGCCCAGCTATAACCTTCAAGCTTCTGCACACAAAATTGCTAACCACCACATGAACTAGGACACCACACCCCTAAGTATACAGAATACAAAAAATATATAATGTGTCCAGTTTGACATGTTTCGCTCAAGGCTTCGTCAGGAAAATATGGGAGGTGCCATTAATGGAATCTCTGTCCTACCGACATGCGTCCCTACTGCCGGAGAGCCAACCCAAAACAACTCGGGAGGTAAGGGAAATAGGGGACCATGCGGGCCAACAAATGGGGAAGAAGGTACGCCTGTCCATGAGGTGTCCTTCAAACAGTTACTGGATGCGTTCTGCTCAATGTAGTATCACTCCTCATCCAGCAAAAGGCAGCCCCCCAATATGGTTGACATAGGTCATGACAATGCAGGTACAGAATGTAAAAATCGGGTACATTTTTCATGACAATTGTAACCCGATCCATTTCAATCAAAGGGATTGGTGGTGGGGGGGGGGAAGCACTACCTTGCCTAGGCACAATTCTACCTTAATCCATCTCCAAGTCAGGTTGGAGAGTGTGACTAGTTGAGTTTCACCTCCAATTACTTCAAAACAGAGACACAACCATAGGACTGAAAGATGTATTTTACAATGTATCTAAAGCTTACAGACAGTTACAACACATACCAAGAACATTTGCTTGAACCTCCCAGGAATAGGAGGCTCGGTTTTTGGGGAGCACACAGGCGTCCTGGGTTCCTTCCTTCAGTTGAGCAGTGAAAGCGTTGGAAGCTACCAAAGTCAGTCGAACCTGTCAGAGATAATACGAGGAACAATGGAAATAATTGGGATAACGAGATAGGTCATTGTAGATGCACTTAAAGTGACCCCGTCACCAAGCCATTCATGCCAACAAAAACCTTCCCATAAGAATGTGTGTCCATTTAATGTATTTTATAGATAATTCTAGAGAAAGGAGGAGAAACCAGACTGTTGGGGAATTTCCCCCTTTACCTTCTGTGTTGGGGAAGTTTCCCCTTTACCTTCTGTGTGGTTACTGAACAGAAAACTTCTCTGATGGGGACACAGACCTAAAATAACCCAAGGTTACCAAAATTTCAAGAGGAAATCCGGGGACATACTATGGACCACGTCCACTTTTAGCCAAACCCACACCCCAAAAATGTACTCATTTTTTTGAGCATGCCCTGAAACAATTGGGCACAGACTTCTGTAAGAGGAAGCAGACATTGAAGACGTAAAGACAAAATGCCCTGGGCATTATAAGGAGTGAAAGAATGCAGTGTACACTGCAGCCAAAATCATGCTTGCGGTCAAAATTGCATTAGCAGTGGGAGCAGCTGAAGATGGATGGTTAAGAAGTTCTGAGCCTACTCTATGGGTCAAGAATGTGTAACGCACAGAGTGAAGGGATCAGGAGTGTGTAAAGCAGAACACTGGGAACAGGAGTGCATGGTGCAGAGAGCAAGGAATATGCAACACACAGAGTGCAGGGGTCCCGAGTAGGCAACACATGAAGTGCAGGGGTCCCGAGTAGGCAACGCATGAAGTGCAGGGGTCATCAGAATGGTAATGCAAAAAAAAAAAACCCACACCACCACACACACAAATCCCCTTGGAGTGGACTTGCCTAAAAAGGGTAATTTTAGGTATTTTTATACTGTCTTGACTTTTTTTTTTGCCATGATTTAGAAGAGAAACATGCTCCCCCAAAAAAATATATTTTGGTCTTGCGTTATATATTATACAAA